TGTAGTCTGCAATGTATTCTTGTTTTCTATTTCAGTTATTTATCGCATACTAAATTTAACCAAACAAATTAGTCCACAAATGTATAGACATCACAAATATATAATATAAATTACAATTTACAGTAGTTTATATCTGTGATAGACATTCTAATATCTAATGCATTCTCCCGCCGGAGGCCATACTCCATAGACCCAGTTCAGGGGAAGTTAAATTTTTACCTACAAATTTATAAAAAAAAAGTGGTTGGGACAAGGAACTTTATGAATTTTAAACTGATAAATAATTTACAAAATAATTTTCTCATGACTATAAATAGCTCAAAAAGAGTCAAAATAGTTTGAAAATTCAAGTATAAATATTTTTTACTTTTTTTGATACAGGTTGAAAAACTTATGTAACTTCATCCATTTAACTTACCCTACCAATAATATCACGCTATATAAAATAATTAAAAGTGATAATTTGAAGACAATTTCTTAAAACCCTAGAATATTTTTTTAATTTAGTGTCTAAACCATATAGTTTAGCACCCAAGCAAATTTTTCAATTTTTTTTTTTTTGGAAACCTATGATTTGAAACCAGTTATAAGATTTATGATGCAAAAATTAATTCACCGAAATCATAAGTTGTTATCGCATAGCCTTACGAAGTTCACAATTTTTGGTGTTTTACGCACCCGTACAACGCTTAAAGTCTACCGAGTACCGAGCTTAAGAGGACGCTATACCCGCATGTGTTGTCTCCGTCTTACAAATGTACAACATATCAAAAACTATTTTGCGCGGGAAAGAACCGAGAAGGCTACAGTCATAACTAAGAAACGAAATTTTCACCACATAAAAAGGAGAACTATGGCTGTGCAACGTTGTTTTTATTTTTTTGATATCACTTATATGAAAAAAGTTCTTACTGTTTAAAAAACCGTTATTGTTTGTGTTTTTCAAACTTGAAAAACTTTTTTCATATAAATGATATCAAAAAAATAAAAACAACGTTGCACAGCCAAAGTTCTTCTTTTTATGTGGTGAAAATATCGTTTCTTAGTTATGATTGTAGCCTTCTCGGTTCTTTCCCGCGCAAAACAGTTTTTTGCTATGTTGTGCATTTGTAAGACGGAGACAACGCATGCGGGTATAGCGTCCTCTTAAGTAGGTATAACAAATAACAATTTTTTTAACCTAGTTAAATCAACGTCTTCAGAATGATGGTGCAAAAATAATTCATAACAAGTTTTACATAACAAGTCGAGGGATGTTTTTAATTATAATTGTCCGAGCGAGCACAGCGTGCAAGTGAATACGCCGGGTAGGTATATATGAGATAACCAAAAATTTCAATTAGCCATAACTTTAAAATAGACTTCTCTATCACCAAATAGCACAATATATAGTATTGGAAGTAACAAATAAGTTGTAAGGTTTTAAACATTTAATTTTTTTTTTATAAAACGCTGGGCCGACATTTGTTTTTGGAAGTGTGATTACATTTTGTAATACAAAACAAACAACTAAATTTTCTTAAGGGGTATGCATACCAACCGTTTCTAAGGAGTTCGGTATAGGCAATTTTCTAATGGTTTGCATGCGGGTCGTGTAAATGTGTGCGTAGTAAGTGATTATTAGTGTGGGTGACTGTGTATAAAATAAATAGTGGAGCACACCCGCACGTGCACGTACATGTCATTAGCTGAACATTTTACACTCTAATTACAAATGTGAATTTTAGTGAAACACTGAAACTTAGTTTCGTATTTCCAATAATATAGCTTACTGAGTGACATTACAGTATGAACACCTATTATACAAATTGAAGAGAAGGAGTTTATCTAGGCTTGTATAGGAGTCGATTTTCGATATTTTATTTTCAATGTCCAATATTTAACTCTAAAACTTATGATATTTTACTTTTTGAATTTGAATTATTGAGTTTAGTAATTACAAATATTAAAATTGAAGGGCTCCGTGCAACAACGAGACAAGTCCACTTTTTTAAAAAATGAGTTTTTCCATGGAAGAAATTCCATGGAAGAAATACTATATTTTGGTAGCAAAATCAGAAAAATCGCTTTATTATTTCCAAAGATATCTGAAACTGAATTCTTTCCCGCCAATAAGGGTAAATGAGATAATGAATTTTGTTTTGCTTCTCCTGAACAATTGATAAAAATGGACTTGTCTTGTTGTTGCACGGAGCCCTTCAATTTGACTTCTATACAGGCACAGATTATATTCTCTTCTACAATATTGATAATAAGTGTTTTCAATCTCAAACCACTTAATAAACCATATTATTGGAAATACAAAAGTACATTTTTATAGATTTTTTCAATACTATTGATACCCCTTAATCACATCTATTTTTGTCTTCATCCCTTTCCATTCTCGTAGCATATTTTTTAAGCATGTCATGTGATTGTACATTTTTGATATGTGCAACTCAGAATCAAAATATTACTTTTTTGTATCATATCGACAATAATGTGATTCAACAGTAGAGAAACTAGATATATGGTCTATGGCATATTGTTTGTCCTCTGCTTTAATATGACTAGTTGTATTCTTGCCTCGCTTTTTATCAGGTGGAGTTAATGAAAGTGGGTTCATTGATGAATGACAATTATAAATAACCTTTGGCTAATACATAATAAGTTTAAGAATAATTTTTTGCAGACTAATCAATATTTTATCAGTTTTGTAGAAATTATACTGGTAAAATGTTGTCCTTTGATTTATTTTTACTTTTTGAAGTAATTAAGGATTTATAGTTAAGTATAAAACCAATTTTATCTTTTCTGCTGAGACTATAGTATAAATCGTGAATACTTATTATTTAATCTCGATCAAAATTAACTAAACAACTATATGCACATCTATTACAAGACCTTAGAAAGTTTACAATGTTGGCTGGAATTATTTTGCCTGTCTTAAATACATGTTCAAGTCCTTTTTCAGTCAAATCTTTATTGATTGATTGTTTCCAATTTTTGAGATTTCTTTGTTTTTTCTGGTAAACTTTTTATCCATTTTGATTGGTGTCTTTTCTGATTGTGATTCTTCACAAGATGATTATTCAACTAATCTAAAACATGACAAATTATTTTAATTTTGTTATTAAATTACATTTTGGTGTATTTACTATCTTATATTATAATTACTAAAAGACATAGATTTTTAAATGTAATTTGGGTATTCTTGGGTATAGCATGCACTCTGTGCAACATGTTTGCATTCATGCAATACACTTTTAGTCTACTTCTATAAGGTTAATATTAAAATCAATATAATAGTAAAACATATGACAATATTATAAAAAAATATACACTAATAAGTACAATAATATTGTTACATTTATGTTAAGTTTAATAATGGGTAAATTAACTCCAATATTTAAGCCAACATGTCAAAATATGTATTATATAATTTTTAACAAATGTATATATTAATGATGGTCAAACAATATATTATATTATTAAATTGTTATTAGAATTTAGAAGATATCTATGAACATAAAAAATTATATAGGTAGTAGAAGCAAACTTACATCCAAGAGACAAGAACGAATCTGTCAGATATGCTCATAAATACAGTGCATGTTGCTGAGCTTCTTGTGTTTCCATTCTACGTAGTTTCAAATCTATTGCTGGACTATGAGCTTTAGTTTCAGCAAACATTTTCTAATAAATAATATATTTTAAATTATTTTTTCATATAAAAAATATTTTAATTATAGTTAACCTTAAAGTCAAGCATTTCTGGTATTGATGACCGAACTTCATCTTTTTATGCACATTCTCTAATTAATTGAGTTTGTAGAACTTGATTTTGTTCTCGTAATTCATTAACCAGATCTTTAAATTGAGTTGCCATTTCTAAAGTTTCCGCCATTTCAGTATACTCGTCTTTTCCTTCTAATGCATCTTGTTTTTCCATTTTAACTCTTTCTAATCCTTTTTGCTGAATGAGATTCCATAATTTTAATTTTAAATTCTGCAGCTTGATCCAGCTGCAATTTCATCATATCAATATCATTTCAGGTAGTACATAATCATTAAATGATCTTTCACGTCCTCTTATATACAAATGATAACAAATACCTGGTCTTACACGACCTGCTCTACCCCGACGTTGTCTACAATTAGCTAAGCTCACCCATTCTTCATTAAGAGGTCCAATGTTATTTTCTGCATCGAATCCTTTTAATTTCATCCGGCCATTAGTAATAACATAAACTACATCGTCTGTGGTAACTGAAGTCTCTGCTATGTTTGTGGATAATATGATCTTACGAACACCTATTATAATGCTAACATTAGACAACAATGCATTTAAATAATTTTCATATTTAATGCTTACCCCGAGGTGGCGATTCAAAAACAGATTTTTGAGATACAGTAGGTAACATGGAATGCAAAGGAATCAGTATGTACCGAGCTACAAAATAAAAAAATTATATTTATAAACAGATATCAACATTTTTATGAAATTCTACATTTATACAATATACTTTACATGTATTTCAAAAGCCTTAGTCTTTTAAAATTTTAGTCAGTTTTGATATTTGATCCCATCCAAAGAGAAACACAAGTATTGCACCATCATCTTTATTGTTACAAATGTAGTATATGAGTTCTAAAATCAATTCGTAATCTGTATCTTCAGACATTGGATTTTCCAACCAATTCAATATTGCAAAAGGATATTTTTGCAATCTCTTTATTTCACTACAAAAGATTTTGTTATTCGATTATTTGTTAACAATAAGTACGTAAATATATCTTAACCCTTTCAGACCCAAATTAATGTTGTTTGAAAAAAAAATTTTTTTTCTTCATAATATGGTTTAATATGATATAATTAAGTTTTTTTGCGAGTTTCATAATTTTTGAATTTTTTTTTCAGCAGGTTACAGGTAAGTACACTACAGTGTACCTTGGGCCTCTTGGGATAACTATTAACGGAAATCTATTTTTCGACAAATTTTGATATTCAAGTTATGTAACTACACAATTTTAAACATATAATCATATATTTTAGTAGGTGGCTCGAATGGTTTTTGTACCCAATGAATATCACGTTTATTTGTATTTATGAAATCAGGTTCAACCTCCTCTATATCGGGCAAAATGTCCGAGGATAAATCGTCAAAATCATTTAACAATTGGTCAAACTCATCAATTGGAAAACAATTATCATCTTCCAATTCGTCAACTTCACTACCTATATCAGACATCACCATCTCCCAAAAGAGCCAAAATATCACCATCACTTAACATTTTAATTTATTGTTTACACTAGGTCCAATAAAAATGAATAGGTATAAGTTGTATAACGGATATAATATATTTAATAACGAACTATAATGTAAAATATTAAATAATATTTCAATAATCAGAGATAAACGAGTTGTCATTGGTATGTGTGTGTGTATGACATAATAATGTGTTATATTATCATATTATAATAGTTTTTATTAGCACATTATTGTTGATAAAAATAATAATTATTCTGTGCATAAAAAATGTGGGAGCTATTTACGTTCCGATCGTTCCGAATCCGAAAGAATGACGTCGTAGAGGCCCAGCGTACACCACAGTGTACTTCGTTACCAACGGCTGTAAATTATAAACAAACCGCTAGATGGAGATAGAAGTGATATTTTTTCAATATTTACAATGTCTTTGACTATAGGAAAAATCAACGGAACGATAAAATTACTAGTGACACTAGAAAAAAAAATGATAAAAATCCAAAATTTTCTTATCAAACTTATTCAATTTTTTTGTGATAAAACAAACGTAATTAATAGTTATAACACATTGAGTTAACATATGATTATATTTTTCGATATCTACACAAGTTCTACTTGAAAATAAGACAATGACCGCCAAGATATTTTAATTTTATCAGGTGTCGTAATTATTAATAGTTACGGTACACTACAGTGTACTTTGGGTCTGAAAGGGTTAATGTATCTTTTACATGCATACTTACTTTACATAAGGAATTACAAATTCAGTGAATGGATCATGGTTTAATTTTGTGAGATCTTTGTGTTGGTTTTTTAGGAAAATATCTAAACCTGTATTCAGCAGAAATAAATGAAATTACTAGATATTAGCAATGATAAAAAAATTTAACAAACCTTTTTAATGTATAAATGTCTTCAAGGAAAATTTCTTCAACTAGATATGTGAATCCCTGTATATTCAAAGATGGACAGTCATTGTAATACTTGGAAAATGCTGCAGCATTAATATAACTTTAATATGAGGTCTCTGGATTAACAGTACAAAAAAAAAAATTAGTACAATTTAAACAAAATACTATGATAGCAAGAAACATAATATACATGTAATTACAACAGGTATGATTCTCTCGAGAATAGTTAATGTAAAATCACTATTGGTGTCACGTTCATGTATTTCATCAATGATAATATGTGAGTAATAATTTAAAGCTGAATCTCTTTGGATATGTTGAAGTAAAATAACAGTAGTACAAAAAAATACAGATCCATATTCACAACCCAATTTTCTAAAATATAATACATTATATTAGATATTAGTTTTTTCTATTTACTTAATATTATAATCATGTACCTTGAAGAATTAATCATTAATATATTTGTATTCTCTAGTAGATATTTCTCAACTTACTGTGAAAATTTAGTTAAAAATAAATGTAATATTAATAAACAATTCATATTAACCTATGCCAATAATTAGGGTGTACAAATTATTAGTTTGTACTTATATGAAATTTTAGATGTTCACATATAGTTCAATAGAACTTTATTTTGTATCAACTTGCCACTTACTTGCAATGTCTCGAAATGCAGATCCAATTGTCATAACAATCAGATCAATAGTGACAAGTTCTAAAATAACTTTTTGTTTATTTAGAAACAAAAATGTAGTCGATAACCGTATATTATCATAATTTTTATCAATTAGGTATGGGATTTGTTAAAATTACAGTAAATAAAAAAACTAATAATTTCAATGTAATTCCACCAAAATGTCTTATCACTAATAGTTAGCTAAAAACGAGTTAAATTGTTTTAAAAATTGTATGGTGTACAGAAAATGCAAAAAAAACTGCTTTTCCTGATGTATTTGAAAGCCCCTGGGAATTTTAAATTTTTACCTGTCAACCAACCAGATTCATTTTCCTTTCAGAAAATATACTGAAGTCTAAACTAGTTATGTGTTTCTTTGCAATTTAAATATGTTGAGGCCCTTTGTGTTATGGAAATTGGATTGTTTCTCAGCAAAATTGTATTGCCTAAAAAATTAAAACTTTGTTAAAAATATGTCAGTGCACCATTGGTTTCTCTCTTTGAATAACGAGCAACATGCAAGTGTGGGTACAGTAGATCCAAATTTGTACTGTTAACTTTAATATTAGAGTTATATGACATAATATTATAATCAAACTTAAAAGCAAATATGTTTTTCAAGGTACCTTATAGAGAAGCACTAAGCATTTATTTGTATTTTATTTTTAAAACAAGTAAAGGATATTTTAATATTGTAAGATATAATTATTTATTTTTTTTAGCCCTTTCGATATACAAATTTTAAGTCCACGCACACAATTAGATATTATACAATGTGTCCCGTGGGTACGTTAGTTAGTAAAATAGTACAGTAAAATAGCTTTAAAATAAAAACCTATTAACAATATTCTCACCTTTAAGTTTCATAACTCGCTCCAATATGGTATGTATATAATTATCTTCAAGAAAGTCAACGTCTAAAAATTGTCAACACATTGGCTCGATTTAATAGTTCCTTGTATGTGGTACATCATATATTTCAGTTTTGAAAACCATAATAAGTAAAATCCACTGTATGAACTAAAAATTATAAATCACTAAGTAACTTTTGGCTTTGGCAAACATTTAAAATTGGAACTTGAGTAATATACTTATATAAGTGTGTGTGTGAATTAGACATTATTAAGTTTCTAAGGCTTTTCTGAGTGAATTAAAATCATCGACTGCAACGTCTCCAAATCCTTTATTTGTCTGTTCATTTTCTTCAAACTCATCGTTGGAGAAATATAATTTTCTGAAAATATAAAGTTGTAAAAAATATCTGAATACCTACCTAATTAATATTAAAAGATTTTACTAGATGATTTACTAGTCGTGTGCTATACCAGTGTTGCTATAAATTATTAAAATTTATTTTATATTGTTTATTTTACTCCTCTAAACAGACATGCGGTTTGGATTATGTTTTGTGACAGCCTCTGGCCATAATAATATCTACTATATACTGAGCCTTGTTTATAATTACTGGTTGT